TAAGTACACCAGTTAATGGTTCATCATCAACATCATCATCGTCAACAAATCCACCTATTTATCAACTTATAAGTACACCCATTAATGGTTCATCATCAACAATATCATCACCAACAAATTCATTAACATGGCGTTTACCTTCAACATTAACATCATCTTCATTAACAAATCCACCTACTTATCAACTTATAAGTACACCAGATAATGGTTCATCATCATCATCGTCAACAAATACGTCAACATGGCGTTTACCTTCAACATTAACATCATCAATAATAAAACAACCATCAGTTGTTTCAATTATAAATGGAAATATGAACGTAACATCATCAACAACAGTACCAATGAATTCAACCGGTGTAACAATGCCAACACATGGTAATATACTTTATATAGCAACAACAAATTCTCAACAACATAATCCAATAACAACTGGAAATCTTATACTTCAATCTCCACAAACAGTACGACTTGTATCAACACCATTACATACATCATTATCTGCACCAGCATTAACACTTTTAAATAATAGTAATACGACAATAATTAATAATCCTCGACAAATTATAACACCATCAAGTAAAAAATTTTCTTTATTTTAATTTTAAAATTAATATAAATTTTAGGTTCTTCTTCTTCTAATAATTTCAAACCGGGTATTTGTATCGATACACCAATTCTTGGACGATTAGCACCAATAACAATTGAACGACAGAGTAAAATTATTTTGTTTTAGTTTTTTAATTTTGTTATAGAAAAAAAAAATAATTGATGAATTAGATAGATTAAATTATTAGTAAATAATCATAAAATGATTAGTTTATTAGATATAAGCAACAATAAAAAATATAATTGATGTCAGTAGAAAAATATGTTTCTATCGTGTTAAGTATAGTAGTATAAGAGAAAGAAATTTGAATAAATCTGAAAAAACATTCAATATAAATCCAAACAACACGTGAGAAAAAAGAAAATGAAAATGAAAGTATCGTATTAGCAAACTAGATTTAATCCTAGCTGGTCTATCTCCTTTTCTTTTTCCCATCAATAAGAATTTTTTGTTGTTGTTCTTAGTGATTTGCAATATTTTATACGAATAATCATTTTCTTCTACAACTTCATCTAATAGAATTGCTTTCATAAAGTGTAACCTGTACCACTTCCATCCGTTTTACTTGTTAACATTTCACCCTAGTTTTTTCCAAGGACTTTCATTGACGTTTTTGAAAACCAACGTATTCCGTAAGGTGACTACACTAAATTTTTCATGATCAGATGTGCATCAAATCATCAGTTGAAAACCTGCAAGACTGTACAAAGCCTAGACTTTAAGAGTTACTCCTTCAAAAGTTATTGGTATAAGAAACCATTTTGGAAAAACCTATAACTATAATATATGATTCGATGCATCTTCATCTTCTCTTTCCAACGATAAAAACCGCAGTTTTCTATCTTGTTCCTAATCAAAAGCTATCTGGAATCAAGGACTATCCGGTTACTTTTGGACCAATCCGTGTATATATATATATTAGCATCCGATGTTGGATTGGAAAAGCAGTTTTCGTTAATGCCTCTTATAGTCCCTAGATAGACATTTTATTGAAATATATGCTGCCGAACATTGTTAAAACAATGGTATATCTGACATTGCAACCTTCAGTGTAGGTAGAAACCAAGTTTGAACTGAAACACTTACGAATAATTTTTCATAAAACCTGTCCTTCTATAAAAACTTATCCATAGTTTCCCGAAATATCATTATTTCAAAACAGTTCAGTAGCAAGTATCCCAATCCAATATCTATCTAGGGACTAGTAGAGGTTTCAACGAAAACTAGTATCCAAATCTGACATTGGACAAGTCCAAAGTGATAATCTCAGATTCACTTAGATGGATCTCAGTTTGAACTGAATTCGAGATATGACGCTATCAGATATATGTCGTACTTGTTATCTGTATGACATAGTAGAAATAACAGAAAAAAAAATGAATCATACTAAGACACATTTCTATTTTTATATTTATCTTTTTTATTTAATTTGCTGTTAAATCGTTATATTTACTGATTCTCAAATTTATTTACAAATCTTATCAATTAATAACTAATTATAGAAATATTTTTTTACTGACCAGTTAAATCATAGTCTTTTATTATTTAAATTATTGTTTTTCTTTTTTTCTATATAGTTACGAATAATTCTCTTCCACAACAATCCCAATCATTGAATACAAATTCTCAAAATCAAATTGACGAACAGGTGAAATATAAAAAAACAAATACTAAACATAAAAACAAATAATAAAGAAAAGAAATCTTTTTTTGTTTTTCGTTTTTCTTTTTTTATTTCTTAGAATAATTCAACAAATTCATGTATAGTAAGTAATGATAATAATAATTTAATAAATAATTCACAAGATCAAGAAATCGAAGTCTTGGTTAATAATGTTGTTTGTTCATTTGCACTTGGTTGCAAATTAAATTTACGTAAAATAGCTATGGAAGCTTCGAATGTTATTTACAAACGTGATCAAGCGGTAAGAGTTTTCTAAACAAAACTAAACTAAATAAATCTCTTGATTTTTTTTCTTTTTAAAGATGGTATTGATGAAGATTCGAAATCCACATTGTTCAGCCAACATCTGGTCATCGGGTAAAGTAACAGTAACGGGAACGACGAGGTGTGTGTAGGAGGAAAACTAGTAGTAGTATCACATTAATGTGTACACTGCTACTTATTACTTCCAGTGAGGATGATGCACGACGCGGCGCACGACGTGTTGCTCGATCACTACAACGACTCGGATTTAAAACCAAATTTCGACATTATCGTGTGGTCAATTGCCTAGCGACGTGTACGATGCCATGGCCCATTGATATTATTAAATTAAGTCGAATGTATCCAGAAAATGTCAGGTAAGAAGAAAATTTTTTATATTTTTATGAATAAAAAAAAAAAAAAACATTTATTCTAGTTATGAACCCGAAATTCATCCGGGTGCCACAGTCAGATTGTCTGAAAAGGCTGTTCTTAAAGTTTTCACTACTGGTAGTATAACATTAACAGGTAAGGAAAAGAGTTTTTTCTTTTTTCTAAATATTATTTTTATGTGTTCAGCACCGTCCGTTGAACGTATTAATACAGCAGTCAATGAATTTTATCCATCATTATTTGAATGTCGAAAAGTGAATCATGATGAAAGACAATGCTGACGTCACACAATAATAATTCGGCTTGATTTTTTTCTCGGGACAATCATCTCGTTTCTTTACTATTTTTTTTCTTTTGTTTTCTCGAGCTATATGTACATATATATATTTGAAATACAAAAAACAACAACAACAACAACTTGTTCTCTCTTGTTGTCTCTACTAGTGTTTTTTTTTTCTTTTGCTCATCTGTCAACACAAAGTCACATAAGTTCTCTTTGTTCAGTTTTTTTTCTCTGTTGATTGTTATTCAATTTGTTTTTGTCTCTCTCTATATATATTTCTGCAGATTTGTGTTTCGGATTTGTTGTATGTATATAGAAGTATGAAGAAAACAAAATTCACGATGATGATGATGATGATGAAATAGAGCCAAAGCGAAGAAGATTTCTTAGATATTTCAAATCCTACTTTAATTATTATATTATATGTTTCTATGTAAATGTTTCTTGTTTTTTTTCTCTTTTTTGTTTTGTGTGTATGTATGCCAATTTATAACATGCGAGGGAAAGAATATACATAGCCATGAACTAACTTGACTTGATGCATATATTTCATCATATTTCTTTTTTTGTTTTCGATTTATATTATTCAAACACGAGAAGAAAAAAAAACGAAAACAAATAGTTAGCTTGGTATTTTTCTTTCTTTTTGTGTTATTAGGATATATCTTTCCTTTTTGTCTTCATTTCATTATTTGTTGCCTGATTTGTTTTAAATCTATATCTATATTCATCTTCCTTTATTTCATTGTTTTTCCTTTTTTTTTTGTATTTGTGCGCATTACTCGATCTCGTTGGTATACAAACACGAAAAAAAAAAAAATTAACAAAAAAAAAAAAAGAGTAAATTGAAACATTTAAAATATTTAAAAAAAAAATCATTTGAAGTTATACATTTTCCTTTCATTCTTTAGATGGTAATAGTTATTTCTTTTGTTTTCTTTTCATATTAAAAATGCATCTGAATTGTATATCAATAGGGAAATAAATGGAATTCTCTTGATACCAACACAATTGAGTATGAATATTCGAATTTATAATAGAATATTAGTAGTATAAATTTTTTCTTTGACTAATATTTTTAAACTCATTTGAATATGAATCAATCATATTTCATGTTTATCAAGATCAAGATCAAGATCACTTTTAATTTCATTTTTTATTCTTAATGAATCAGTCTCTTTTTGATGATCTTTTCGATTACAAATACCTATTAATTTTTAAAATGAAAAATAGTGTTATTACTTATGAGCATGAACAAATCATTATTTTTATAAAATATCAAAGAGATATCTTCAATTATCTTAATTAATTTAAAAAAAGAAAAGTTAAATCTATTTCGTATAAAATATTCATGATGAATATTCGATAGAAAATTAAAAATTGTTATGAATAATTTTTCACTTCTCATTGTTTGAAACAAAAAAAGAAATCTCATAAATGAACATTTGTGACTAAAAAAAAAAAAAAAAATTAAAATCAAGTATGTCTCTTAGGTGACACATTGATAGGCGATTTCTTTTTTTTCTTTTTTTTGCGTTCGGCTCATTTATAAAAAAGAATGCATATTATTCACCATGAATGACGAATAGAGAGAAGGAGTCTATGCTGTCTCATCATATCCCACATTCATCTAAATAGGTGATTCGTCACGCATTAATGCACAGTAATATCTCTTCTTTCTTCCTACACATTTATTCATCAAGTTGACAGACTAAATTCGCGCGTATTGAATCTATAGTTGTTCCTTCATACTCATACATATATATATATATATATACAAATTTACAATGACAACAACAAATACTCAATCATATTATTCAAAAATGCCAAATCAGGATGATCAAGTTTTTGATGATAAGAATATTCAACGTTTTGATGCTGATACAATAAAAAATCTCTATGGAAATAATTGGAAAAATTTTGCATCAAATATACGTGAAGTAGTTCAACCTGATGGATCAATTATCAAAGGTATATTTAAGTCCTTTGTTTTTCTAATAGAAAGAAAAGAATTGTTTTTTTGTTTTGTTTTAGAATATGTTATTGAAGATCCAAGTTTACTTGAACAAAGCAAAACATCATCACAATCAATCAATTCAACAATAACAACAGGTACTGATGATGATGATGATGATCAACAACAACAATCATTAAAAAGTAAATTTGCTCAAATCAAAGCAAAATTTGAACAAAAAAAATTTTCAAATGTTATGTCATCACCATTAACATCATCAATGAATCTTAGTAATATAACAACACGTGCAAATTCTAGAAAACAAACTGATGATTTATATGCAAGACATAGACGAGCATCAAATGAATCAATACCTATTCATAGAATAAATAATAATTATAATTATAATAATAATAATAATTCAATAGGTTCTTCAGATCGATCTACTAATACACATCATAATTATAATCGTTCACAATCAATTACAACTGAAAAATCAAAAATAAATTCATTTAAACGTTTGGATTCTGCTGATGAAGCTGACGAAGAAGTTCGAGAAATTCATCGACGAGGTAACTTTAATTAAAATCTTTATTTTTTTGTTGTTGTTATTGTTTTACTATTATTTGATTCACTTACAAAAAATAGGTGAAGAATTACGGCGTTATAAACAACAATTTACTCCTATACTATCATCCAATGAAAATTCACAGCAATCTCGCGTTCAATATGAAATAGTTGATGAAGATGGAAATCCTCTAGTTATTGATGATATTCAAGATTTAATTAAGATGGCAGGTGTACATGCTCGAGAAATTTCTCAATCAGATGGATCAATTATTAAAGAATATGTTATAGATGATCCTCAAATAGTATCGAAATATCGTTCTCAACAACAACCACGATCATCCATGTCTTCATCCTATAATCAACAAGCACCGTCAATAACATCATCTTATACTCAACAACAAAATATTAATGAAGAAGCTCCACCACCTCCACCACGTATTCCGTTACGGCCATCAATATTATTTCGTCAAGGACAATCATCAGTTAATGACAATGTTTCATATAATATTCAACAAATTCGTGTTCTTGAACCACAACGACGTTATGAATATTTAACAAGAACAGGTCGACTTATACAATTTCTTATAACTAATTCCGATAGTTTTAATGGACAATTTATAACTGATTCTGATATTCGTGAATTAACACATGCTATTAATAATCGTCTTTTACCATCATATAATTCTTCTGTACAACAACAGCATCATCATCAACAGCCATCGACACAAACACAATTTAATAAACCTAAGCTATGGTATCCATCAGTTGATTTCACACATCGACAACGTATTGGTTCTGATCATCAACTAAATTCTAATAATTCTGACAATAATTTTCAACACACACAAACAAATTTATCGCGTTCAGCATCTCATGGTCGACTTGATCAAGAATCTTATAATTCACTAAATCAACAACAAGTAATGAATGAACCAATTAATAATAGGAATAGATTTCAATATCAAGATTCTCATAGTCAAATACCGAATCAAATTCATCAAAGTAACGATTCATTTCGAACATCAACACAATTTTTACCTCCAAGAGAAAGACAACATTCGACAACTTCACCGCCAATAAATAATAATCATCCACCGGTTTTTTATCCACAATCAACAGCTTATCCATATCAAGGACAACAACAACATGGTGTTCGAATTCTTAATGATTTAAATCAACAACGTCCAGCTAACATGACTGATGAACATAATAGAATTTAAACTTAAAAGAGTTTTATATTTATTATATAATAGAATGAAAATATGCGACATTTTTTTTTTCTGTTCATTAAAATGTTTTTTTTTACATCACATTGAGAACTGAAAACATTTTTAGATTTATCATGAAAATATCACAACAAACATGGAACGATTTGTTAATGACACCAAATATTCGAAATGTCACACAAGTCAAATACATAGATAATGGTGTGTGTTGAAAAAAGAAATTTTAATTCAAAAGAGTTTATTTGAAAAATGTTCTCTTTTTTATTTTGTATATGTGTTATTTAGAATGGTTGAATGAACTTGTCCATTTCATTTTGAATGGTTCATATGATAAATTATTCATCGAAAACCCAAATCTACTTGATTTCATTAATAAAAATCAAGATGATTCTCAATCAATTGAGATTATGAATAAATTAAATCATGATGAAGAGTTAGTTGAATATAAATTAATGGATGATGCGAAAATTTTTGCGCAAATGTCGGTTCATTTTTCATTGGCTAAAACATGTGTGATCAAACTCGAAAGAGTTCGTACAGAATTTACATCGAAAACTTTGTCTAACTGTATGTTTTAAAAAAATTCTATCATATTTTGTGTTTCAATAGAGAGTATACCTTTAAGCAACACTAAAATGTGATCTGTAAAAATAACTCAAAGTAATGGGCAGAAGAAGAATATGGATCTCTCAGTATTGTTTTACTCGATCTAATGCGATCGATTGTATTTGGCTGTTCTTTTATTCGGCTAAATGTAGCGTTCAATTCTCTACAAGCTTGATAGAAAACCATACGGTATTGCATTAGACGAGATGATCGACAATTAGAAAAACAATGATGTAAGACAAAACGTCAAAAGTGAAGTGCTAGCACAATTTGTGAAGGGCATGTGGATGTTACTGTGAATATGAGTCTTTTCTGTACTCTCAGTGACACACACACATCCACTTGAAATCATGGCTACAAATGATCTGAGATACTCACTCTATGACTATGTGTGAACCAATTACAAAATCGAACAGCAAATATAACAATACGAACATTAATCTGAAAATGGCTAGAGGCTCGAGAGTTAAGTTTCAGTATGTTGTCTCAAAGAATTTCGTATTATTTTCCGCATAATTTTTTGAAAATAGAGACGGTAATCTGATAGAGAAAATATAAATACTATCTCATGAAATGAGTCGAAAGAAATTGAAAAATATTATGAGATCAGGACCTTTTGTAATATTCGTTTACTTTAACAGATCACATTTTAGTGTTGTTTAAAAACGCACTTCTTACTGGAAGACAAAACATGATAGAACTTTTCGGAACATACAGTCAGACAGAATTTTCGACATAGATTCTGTACAAGGCACTTTCGAGCGTGTCCATACATGTTTTAGGCAATGAAAAATGAATCAATATTTGTGCAGAAACTTTTGCATTACTCATTATACATATATAAATTTGTGGGATGTTGCGTTTTTTTTTCTTTTATTTAAAAGACTAGTTGATTTTTTGCATATACTCATTGGTATAGCATATCTTCAATTGTTTATTATTAATAATTTCCTTGGACCAAAAGTTAAACTTCATCAATTTGAACAAACAATATCACAAGTAGATATTTGTTTATTAAATATTTATTTGTATTTAAATTTTTCTTTCAAGACAACAATTAATGATCATTTAATATGTGATGGTGAAACACCTGTTTCAACTGTTGAACATTTAGATTATTTATTTCAAGCAACAAAAGTATTTAATATTGAACAAAACCAAACAAATAAAAATTGGGTATGAATACTAATACTAAACGAGGAAAAGGTACTCACTGATTCATGCCGTTTTTCAATGATATTTTGTCTAAATGTTGGGAACATGATTCTAAGAAAAGTTCTTAGAGGTTTCGAGCTGATGAAGCTTCCTTCAAAGGTTATGACTGTTTTATTGATGTTTTTCACTGAGCATAAGATATATATAGAAAAATCAAACAGCAGAATTTCAATCCAAACTTTTGCTCATATGTAATTCTCGTGGTCAATGAAACACTTTAAAATGTTTCGATGGAAAAAAAAATCGTTTCTTATCGTAATGTTGAATTATTAAAAAAACGCCAATGTTTCTGAACTTTATAGGTTATGAGACAACTTTTTTTTAGAGTCAACATCTCCAGAAACAAAACATGTGTATTCTACTGAAATATTTAGAAAATTTTCAGGATAACAGAACTACATATAAGAAAAATCTGTGATTAAAATTTTGTTATTCGATTTTTTTTTTCTATACCTTGTGCTAAATAGAAAAATCAGTAAAATAGTCATAACCTTTAAAGGAAGTTTTCTTAGAACAATGTCCGCAACATATGTTCAAGATATCATCGAAAACTGCCTGGCTCTATTGAGGATCTTTTCTCATAAAAAAAAAAACATATTTATCTTATACATAATTTTTTAGACTTGGTATTGGTGGACAATGCGAACTGTATTCACACATCAAAAAATGTTAGAAGAACGTTCAATGACATTATGTAATCATGCACAAATGTGTATTGATAAACGTAATAGCTAAATAAATAAGATCAAAGAATATATTCTCGTCATTACTTCTTTTTTTTTTCTTTATTTTAGTTTTAACTTATCAATCTGAGATGAATAAGTAAAAGAAATAAATAGTGAAATATAAAGAAAAATAAACAAAATTTATTTACTTTAGAGTACAACAGATTTTATTCTTTATTGAAATAACTTATATATCAGAATATTATTATAATTGGAAACAAGTCGATACAGCTAAAAAACAAGCACTTGAAATATCAGGTTTAGAAATTAATTTAACAGGTAAAAAAGAATTGTGATTTCTCTTGTTGAAGAAATTATTTTTTAAATAATAAGGACAACTTGGTAAACGAACACGATATCAAATAAATAATACATCTCAATTACTTCTTGATATTACAAGAAAAGAAGCACAACAAACATTAACTAATAATAATATGATAAATGAGGAAAATTTAATATTACCTAAAGTAAAAGAAAAAAAAGATTGATCAAAAAAAGAAAAATAAAGTTCTTATTACTTTTTTTTTTTTTCTATAAGAATCTTGCATTAAATGATGATGTTGTTCTTAATCAAATTCAATTTCAAAATGAAACTGATTATCAAAATTTGACTATTCAATTAGATATTATCGAACAATTAACTTTATTATTAATTATGTTAGTTATTTATTATTTTTTTATTTATACATAACTAAACTTTAGATTGATTTCTTTTTCTTTTACTTCTAGATACCATCGACAAATTAATCATCCAAGTCATGAAATTACAACCGAAGAACAATTAGCTTTTCTAACTGTATGTATTCAATCTTTTATAATGAACTTTTAAAACATTCTATTAAACTATATTTTGATTTCAATAAGACGACTGTCTAATGACTTATGTGATTGTTTAGAGATGAGCTCAGTTCGTAATTTCTTTTTTTTGTTTGTTTGTAATCTCACCAAATCGATCAAGTTATGTCGCACAGACACATTATATACATTAATGAAAAAGAATTAAGTTGTTAGTTTTTTATTTCTTAACAAATTTTGTTTTTACGGCTTTGCGACATTGAATTTCTAATTGTAAATTTTGATGAATAATTACAAGTGCATTATGAGTAGTAGTTATAAATTGCATGTTATTTGTTTTTCGCTCTTCTTATTCGATATGTACATCTTAGCAGTGCGTGTTGACACTTCATTTGGTTTAAATCGAGATTATTCTATGAGTTCTGCTCAAATAATGATTATTTGAGAATGAATTCTTTTGAATCATTAATCATGATGATAAGTGAAGACTTATCAATTCTTTTTAATTTGAGAAATCATGACCAAGCTGGAGAATGATCGAAACAAGTACTATCTCTGATGAATGAAATATTGACGTTAATGTCAAATGTAGATAAGTTTGATCGCACTGTCTTACTCCTTGGATATCGTCATTGAATAGTACAATTTAGATGATTATCAGGAGACTGTGTTTACTATCTTAAATGAAGAATATTGATGATTTGTTACTGAAATAGCAAAGTATATATTGTGTTACTATTGACTAAATGAGTTCTGATGATAAACTTTAGTTTTCTCGGTATTTTGATTTGGTCAGACTTGTTGTAAAAATTTTGTGTAGAAAGAACTGATTTTGATTTATGAAAGAATCAACAAATATGTGAACAGATCTGATTTTATTTTTGCTTATTATTTGTTCTATTTTGACTAAAGTATATTAATCAGATGGGATAAAATCAAGAGAGAACTGCTCAACTGATGTTGGTCATTATTAACTGTCAATCATAAAATTTCATTAAAAAAAAATATATATATTCTCAACTCATTTTCTGTCTTTCAATCTAACTATGCTTGAGTTCATCTCATTATAATCATATTTCAACGAATTTATAATAAATCAATGAGAATAATTAGTATTCTTATAGGAAAAACGAGCAAGATAAAAACTCATTTGGTTTGCATATTTGTATTTGTTCCTATTTCAGTTTATATTATTATTGTTATTCAACATTTGTTCATATTGATTAAGATAAATATTTTGTTTTCTTAATAGTATATATTAGCACGACCACTTAACTGGTGTATTCAAACATGTTCATTGATATTACGTTGTCAACATGAAACAGAAAATACACGTAAAATTGAACGAACATTATTACAATTACAAGTAAATTCAATTTTTGATATTATTGATTAAAAATTTTTATCATTTATTCAGGAATTAATTGATCAATATGATTATAAAAGTCCTTCAAGTTCATTTCGTTTAGAATATTTTCATTCAACACCAATTTATCCAACATGGAAATTAAAAGTAAAATTACAAAAAAAAAACAAGTCATTTCTTTTAAATTCTTTAAATTATATCTTTAGAGTTATATTGCTCATATTTATGTTAAACTTGGTCTTATCAATAATGCACTTGATTTATATTTATATTTAAAAAAATGGTCTGATGTTATATCATGTTATCAATTATTAAAGAAACTTTCATTAGTAAATTATGTTTCTTTTATGTTACTTGAGAAATCTCATCTAACTGATAAATCACTTTTGCTTAAAAATGACGTGTTTTATGTAGATCTAAATAAACTATGAATATACTGAAAAAGAGTTTGTACTTTTAGTTTATTACTCCTGGGATACTTCATTCTTGCGGTATGTTTTTAAATGAATGGTGTAGAAACAGAAAAAAACAGATTTTCGACTTAAAACTTTGCATAGAGACATATCTTAAATGAGAAAATTTTCATACCTTTTCATTGTTCTTATTCTAAGATACAACTATGATAAAAGTGTGTTTTTTGTTACCTTGCTCATATAAATCGGCACATTCGATATTCATATTTCAGGATAGAAACAAATCAAAACACTTGGAACTTTCACAAAAAAAAAGAACAATTTTCATTGAGATCTTGTCTGTGTACAAAGTTTTCAAGTTAACATTCGAAAATCAGCTTTTCTATTAACACAATATTCATTTTAAAAAATATCGTAAAAGTGTAGTATTGCCATAACAATATGCTAAGGACACGAAATTTTTTTTTTCGAGATATTCATAGCTGATTTAGATCTACATAATGTATGTAGTCTCGAGTTAAAAACGATTTATCAGTTGAGAAACTTCGTTTGTTAATACAAAATACATTTATTTAGGCTGAACATGTAATTCGAGAACAATTACAAATAAAAGAAACACCTGATCTATTATGTTCATTAGGTGAAGTAACAGATGAATTTGAATATTTAGAACGTGCATGGATATTAAGTAAAGAACGTAGTGGACGTGCACAACGTTTAATGGGAAAATATTATTTTAATCGAGGAAATGTAAAAAAAAAACAAAAGAAACGATGTTGTTTTCTTAAATAAAATTTATTTTTCTTTTTCCAATGAATTTAGTATGAGAAAACTTGTGAACATTTATTAAAAGCTGTTGAAATTAATTCATTACAAGTATGAAACCATAAATTTAAAAAAAAAAAACCTATTACTTATTGATTTCATTTTTTATTAGCATGATACATGGTTTTGGCTAGGAAGTGCAGCATTTCGCACAGAAAAATGGGAATTAGGTGTACGAGCTTATAGTCGTTGTACTAATATTGAACCAGATGTAGGTTGAACATTTCTTTTTTTTTTATTATTATGATTCTATTGGGTTTTTTTCTCTTTTTTTTTGTTTGTTGGAATAGAATTTTGAAGCATGGAATAATTTAGCTGCATGTCATACGAAATTAAAACAAAAGTAAACAAAACAAAAAAAGCAATCTTTATTAATATATTTATTGAAATTTATAATTGATGTTTTATAGAGATAAAGCACATAAAGTTTTTCTTGAAGCAATTAAATGTAATTATGATAATTGGAAAGTATGGGAAAATTTTCTTTGGGTATGTTTGAATTAAATTAGGAAAATAAACTTATAGGCATTCATCAATTCTTGACACATCATGTCAAAATGATCTTTTTCTTTATAGACAATATAAGTCTTTGTCAATTTTAACCTATCCAAAGTTGTGACTAGAATTTATGAAATACGAAACTAACTGATACTTATCGAAAATTTACATTTTGAAAGTCATTGTCGGTGAATTCCGAAACTTTTGATTTGTATTCCATGAATTCTAATCGATGCTTTGGAGTATAGAAGATTGACAGGGACTTATATTGTCTATGCAGAAAAAGTTTATCTTTTTGAGACATTGGTGCATGCCTATAAAATAAAAATAATTACTAAATTCTTGTGTGTTTTTATAGACTAGTGCTGATTGTGGAGAAATTGAAGATGTTATTCAAGCTTATCATCGTTTAATTGATCTTAAAACAAAATATGTGGATAAAGACGTATATTTATAATTTTGTAGTATTTTAATTTTTTTTGTAAGAAAAAAAAGGAAATTTTAGGTATTACAACGCTTAGTACATTTATTATCGGAGAATAATCACAATGAAATATGGACAAAAATCTATCAAAAATCTCTTGAATTATTTGGAAGATTAACTTCACAAGTAAAATTTTTTTATTTATAAAATTCATTTTAATTTTGTTTAAAAAAAAATTTAGGTAACAAACGATACTGATATTTGGGAATTATACAGTGATTTATGTCAATTAAAAAAAGATGATACATCAATTGATTGGCATATGAAAGTATGTATAAACTAGATGAGAATCATTCAAGAAGAAAAAAATTGTTGTTAATAGAAATTAGTACAAGGACGTTTTCTTATTGTATTTGTTCGCTGAGCAGAAATTTTGACTAAAAAAATTGATTCGATCAAATCGATGAGGTTTGAATAACAAATGAAAATTGATTCAATTAAAGCAGAGCTCATGATTGAGATCAGGTCACCCAGTTCTTTTATTAATATTTAAGTGTAATATTAATATAGATGATAAACTATAATATTAATTAGTTTATTTATCTATATTTAAATTAATGAAGTATAGTATTAATTTTCAATATAAACATTAAAAATTCAAAATCTATGCAAACACACAAAAAAAAAACCTTTTTTCTGTGTCTATAGATTTTACAACAACTACAACGAGCTCATCGTTGTGCTGTTAGTCAAACATCTAGTTGGGAAAGTGAAATCAATACAATAAAAAGTGTTCTCAAATTATCAAATAAACTTGCTACTAGTATGTATATTACTAATTCTAAACATTTAAATTAAGTTGAATATATTAGATACAATTGAAAAACTTGGTGAACATTCTGAGAATGAAAATTTCAAACAATTATGTCATTCAATTCGTCTTGCTTTAAATTCTGTTGTGACTCGTTTAAAACAAAAATATGATTCATCATTAATGACAACTGATGAAAACATGAGTGATGATATTCAACAACTAGAAAAATCACTTTCACAATTAACCGATATGTTACGAAAAAATTGATATGATTATTAACGCATTGTTATCTTTTTTTTTTTTTTGTATTGTTTATTGCTTTTCACAATAAACATGATGGTTAACAAGCGAAGAAAAAAAACAAAGAAACAAGAAATAATATATTTAGGGCGCGCATAGCCTATGAAGAAAGAATTCGTTCTAATAGCACGATGACTAGAAAATCATGTTAAACAACGAACAAGATTTATTTTTCTTTTATATGATAAAGAACAGGATTTTTTTTCCTATTATATATTCCATTGAATAAAAGATGTGTCCATGATAGTGGAATATATATTGACGAGTAGATTTTATCTTGTTCTTTTCTTCCTTTTTTTTGTAATTTATTTTGACAAGAGAAAAAGCAGAATAAACAATCATATCTCTCAGAAAAAGAGAACACATCAACAAAAAATTTGAGAGAAAAGGAAGAGAAACTAAGATAAATAATGATGGTTTAAGAGACCAAGAGCAGTATCTATGTAAAATCATGTACTTAGAATGCATTCTTAATGATAAAAGAGCCTGGCAAAATATGGCAGACATGATATATAATATTGGATTCTAAGAGCCATTTGAGTAAGTATTAAATCATAAAACGAAACAAAATCAAAAAAAAAAAGAAGAGAACTTGTCATTTTTTATTTGTGTTCTACTTAATATTGACAGAAATGTTAAAATGATGGCATCTGTGTATCCTCTTCGTTCTACATCTATAAACACACATCAAATATTTTTTCTTCTCATCAGAGCAACACAAAATAAAAATTTAATTTCCTCTTGTTGAAAAAAAAGAGAGTAACTTGTATTCTAAAGCGTATTAATCAAAGAGCTGAAAAACTATCAAGCGTTAGTGACAGAGTAGTTAGTGAATTCCTATTTTCATGACAGAATTCAATGAACGATGCTCATTTATTTCCATCTATAAATATATATGTATTTCATCGTACGCGGAAAATAAGCGGAAATACTTCGTTATGATTCTAAATATGCATTAAGACCAAAAATATCTGAAACAGTTGAAGAAATTTATTATTTCATATTCAAACAGTAAATTTTTCGTTGTTTTCTCTTTTGTTTATTATATTAATAGATTAAGACAAAAGATATGCGTTCATCTCAACCAGTACCTTCACTTGTTATTGATACTTGTTGCTTGGATGGCAATCTAAAACCAATAAAACCTCCTAAACAACCAACATCGAATATTTCACGTTCATGGAGTTTACCAAATTGTAATGAAACTTATAAAGATTTATGTGGTGCTATACATTATACAGTCTCAAATCATTTAAATAGTCTTTTCAAACGATCACGCTCGTATCCAAATAATTATCTTTTAACATATTCAAAATTAAATGAAAAAAAATTTCATTTGCAATCTCCATCAACATCAATTCATTATAATATAAATTTACTTGATCCAAATATTGGTACACAAACACCAAGTTGTTTGTCATCACGTTATTCATTGCATGGAAGTTTTGTTGATTTATCTGAAAGCGGTTATTATCCACCTTCAGATCAACAATTTATTAAATCAAATAATAAATTATTAACCATTGATGGACGTCCATTATTAATTGTTGATCCTTTTACTCGATTATCAACAAATACTTATCAAGATAAATGCACTGATTGGCTTCGTCGTCTTAATATAAATTCTACTTAAATATTGGTTTTTTTTTGAATATATTTTATTTAAAATTCGAAAAAAAAGCGAGATAAAGTTTTTATTTTAATCGTTATCTTCGACAACAAGATGTTGTACAAAATCTTTATAAGTACATTTATGATTTGTTTCATCATCAAGAGCTATTGTCATAAAATCTTGAAATTCTTCCTCATTAAATGGTTCACCTAAAACAATATGAAAGTGATTTTAAGAGAAAATAAATATTCTTTTTTTTTTCATTTCGTTTTAATACCTTCTTTACATAAATAATTTCGAAATTCTTCTTCAGTTAAATAACCATTATTTTGTGTATCAAGAACTTGAAATGCTCGCAAAATTTTACTTTCTGGTTCACCTTGATAACGACGATCTTTTAATATTAGATTCATTACACTTAAAAATCTTTCTAAATGTATGGAGTCAGGATTTGAATCGTCAGACATCTAAATAAAGAACATAGAAAATACTTTTTTGCCTCTTCTTGTATTTTTTGACTGTATTACTTCACTTAAAACATCTTGAAGTTCACCTTCTGTTGGTACAAGACCAAGTGATCGTACAACAGTACCTAATTCCGTTGATGGAATTGTATTATTTGATTCTTGATCAAATACATTGAATGCTTCCGTTAAACGCTTAATACGAGCTTGATTAGCTCGTTCTAAATAATGAGAGTTCTTTTGAAAATTTATATTAGAACGGTTAAAAGAACAAACCTTCACTTTCTCGAATTGGATCTCGTAAAGTTACTCGGTTTTCTTGATCAGGTACAGCGCCTGCTGCATCCGTTGACGTCGCCATTAGTAATATGTATTCAAGTTTGTTTCCTTAGAGTGTTTAGTAAATATGCATATACTTCAGCGATATTTAATTGTGTCATTTGTCAAAATTTTTAATTGAAAAATATACAACCAAATAATGTGTTTTCGAAATAAAATAACCTCTTGAGAACTTTTATGTTTTATAATAGTTATCTATTAACAGCGACATCTAATCAAAGCATTTTGTAACTGTACAATCAAATTTAAAGTTCATTTTGTCTGTCCTTTTCATGAAAAACCGTGTAGGTATTGTTCAAATTGTTATCATTTCATTTCTATGGTTGAAAACTAAATAATATTTTTCTGATCAAATACTTTTCTTTTTTCATAATAACTGATTATGAGAATGATAAAAATAAATAATCCACTACATGATTAAGACATTTTCTGCTTTTGTAGTTTTTCATCACGTCTCTCATTGTATGGTTATCTTTTAATCAGGCCAATTGCATCGATTCCATCTTATTTATTTTTATCAGAGCAAGGCATTCTTTTTCAATACAACGAGTAGCGCATAAAGAATAAGTCAATTTTGTAACATTCTTGTTCTCTATGCAATTAATCATCCAAAATTAGCTCAATCAATAGAATTTAAGTTTCTACAAAATCTAATATGTGGTTTTTGGTTAGCATGCTCTCCTTTTATACAGTTTTGAAAATGTGAGGTGCATCCATTTTACAATGTATTCCATCTTGAAAAACAAGAGTCGACTTCTTAAAACAAAGAAGTTTCTCTTGAGATTTGAAAATATATGAAAAAAAAATCGTCGTAAAGTTCTCTATCAATTTGTAAGTATTTGACAATCTTTTGCAAGAACATTTTACTAAAAACTTATAAGAATAAAAATGGGAAGCCACTGCATTTCGCACCCATCTCTGAGCTTAATTATTTTTTCTTCAGTAATACAACAGGAGTACATGGGAATCATTTTATTGATGATATATTCTTGTAGAGAATTAAACTATGCATCGTCTAATATTAAACAGAGATATTTTAGAGGAAATTTCAACTTTGAAAAAAAAGTTCTAGTTACAAGAATTTTCCGGAAACTTCTGCGATCTTTGATTGTTAATGTTGTACAGCACTTTGAAAGAATTGGAAAATTTATAAAGACGTTATGTTGATCGAGCACAACATTTTCTAACTTGTTAGATAAAAATCATTACTATTCGCATTAATTTTCATTAACTAACTCTTTTTGATATAAGAATGTAGATGATGTAGTGCAGTGTGAAAAATTAATACATCCCACATTTCCTAAGTTGTATGAAGGAAAGTATGTTATCTAAAAACCAAAGACGAGATTTTGTAGAGAATTTGATTTTCTATTGATTAAAGTGATTTTTAATCTTCTAAATGATTGATTACATTGAGGAAAACGTATTAAAGAAGTTGCTTATTCTTTATGTCCCACTTGTTAACAATTGAAAAACTGCATTTAATGAATTTTTCTAATAGATGTTTGTTTTGTCTAAATCGTTTAGTAAACCTACGGGGAAAAAATCAGATCGCTTTTATTACTATTATATTTACTAGTAAGTTAAATCTATTCATTTGTCTATATATCATTATAAATTCGAATGTCGTTTCCATTCGTAGACCTGAAGTTTTCAATAGAAACTATAGGATATTCATAGTCACCAAACAATCTTAATATTCTGTCTCAATTAAAACGTTTCATAAACGTAGAAATGTAAACGACTATGAGACCAGATGAATTCAATGAAAACGTTTATTTTCATCATTTGGTTATGTTTTAATTTTGCATTACAAATTTCTATTTCAAACCTTTCATCACATTGATGTAATCATTTATCAAGAGATTTCTCTCGTAAAAATCAATATGTACATTTCATTGATTATTAAAATATAGACTTCTATTGACATTCGATTTCATCTTCTCACCAAGGTCATATTCGAACTTAGCCTGTATTCAATCTTTTACTTTTGATGTTTGCTTTTTTTATTTGAATCTTTTCTATGCAATCAAGAGAATAAAAAGAAAGAAGAATGTGCGACAAGTTTTGAAAAAAAAATGGTTATTAGGGAAATAAAATCAGCCATGCCGAACAAAAGTCACAGTCATATATAAGGATAAAAAAATAAATGGCAGCACGCGTATGACAAGAATTCGATTTGTACACCGCATGGACATTTTTTTGTTCGTTCTTTTGTTTTTAAGTTTAGAAGAAAACGAACGAAATGAACCAGTGATGATTATAGTAGTTTAAAAAAGAAATGCGCAAACATGTGACAATCAAAGCTGAATAACAAAAACAGACTCCGATTACGTAAGAAAAAGAAAAATGATAACGTTTAATGTAAATGAAGATAAATCAATTAGTCGTGATGTTTAATATTATTAATCTAAGAACAACAGGTTGGACTTTGTTTTGTATCAGATACAGGATTTGTTGGAGGTAGACGAATTGGGTTATGTGTTGATCCTGTTCCACCATTACTTTGTAATCCTGTCGGATCTGGCATTGGACGCTGAGAAACAATACGATAAATTTCTTTAACAAAAAAAAGTTAAAGTATAGTAGATTAACAATAGCACATAAAACAAATAGTACCAGTAAGAATGCTCTGGAATGCTTGTTCAACATTCGTGGAATCTAATGCAGATGTTTCAATAAATGAAATACCATTTTTTTCTAGTAAATCAAAGACAAAAACTTCCGTAAAAAAAAAAGAATAATTTCTACATTGAATTTACATTACCAGAAAATGCTTTGGCTTCATCACTTGGTACTGAACGTAAATGTCTTAGATCAGATTTATTTCCAACAAGTGAAATAACAATATTTGCATCAGCATGATCACGTAGTTCTTTTAACCATCTGTCAACATTTTCATACGTAGCATGTTTACTAATATCATAAACAAGTAACGCACCAACTGCACCACGATAATAACTATTTTCAATGTAGAATTAAAGCAAAACAACACACAGTTATGAAAATAAAAGCATACGCGCTGGTAATGGCACGATAACGTTCTTGACCAGCTGTATCCCATATTTGTGCTTTAATTGTTTTTTTATCTACTTGTATACTTCTGAAAGAAAAGCGATAGGTTTCTAAGGGACATTTAAAAAAAATGTACCGTGTAGCGAATTCAACACCAATTGTACTTTTACTTTCTAAATTAAATTCATTTCGAGTAAAACGTGAAAGTAAATTACTCTTTCCAACACCAGAATCACCGATAAGCACCACTAAATATGTATTATAAATGCCCTTTTTTTATCTTTCAAATATCTATAAAATTTACCTTTAAATAGATAATCATATTCATCTTCTCGAGCCATTATAAATTGCTATAGTATATATCAACAAAAATATTTGTTATCTTCAATATAAAACAGTTAAATAGCATAGATTTAGTTTTAAAAAGAAATTTTTTACTTACATCTGTATCTGTTTACACACTCAATTATGGTTGTGACGCGTCGGTTAAACAAAATATGATTGGACTATTGTTGTCTTCTAGTGATAGTCTGAGTCATCAACTCTTGGGATACGCAAATAACCATTGAGCTTCAAGAGAATCGAGATGACGCTAGATGATAGAAATCAAATTTACAACATATTGGCTGAAACAAACATGTGCGTTTTTTAAGCATTCTTTGAAATGCATGAAGACGAAATATACATGTAAGGAATTGAAATTTAATTAAAAGAAAACAGAAACAATATGACCACCTTTTGGCTGCCTTGTCATATGATGTGCTACCTAGTTGGTGATTCAATTGTTCAACATTTTTCCTAAAAATGTGAGTAGTTATAGCTTTGAATAGAAAGCTGGATTGATGCAGAGTTCTTACGTTCAATTCCTTGATCTTCCCAAATACATTAACTAACCACATACTAGCTATAAAAGCAGACATACGTCACAAAGTAGTCAGCATGCTATCAGAATGGTGGTCTGACACAAATAACCGTTAGTATAATTTGTGCAGGCTCACTTCATGACTACCAATATTGAAGTTGTGCGTATAGAGGAAACAAGTGAAACTCTATACTCTATGGTACGAGCAGGGTCCGCGCGAAGGATCAAATATTAGGGGGATGTAAGAGAGTATTTTCAGGAAAATCTTGCAGAAAAATCATAAAATGTGGACAAAATCTGCTCTTGTGGCCGGATAAAATTGAAAAATTTTTATTTTTGGGGCTGTACACCTCCTAAACCCCCGCTCGCGCGGGGCCTGGGTACGAGTGAAGTAAAAGTTGAGTACGACTGAAGTACGATGACGTAAGAACGAAGTACAGGATGTGAGTGTGAGCATTGGCTTTTTCTTCAACCATTACTACACCACATCCTTTTACTAAAGAGACACAGTATCCTGAACCCTATATAGTTAGCCTGGAATAATGTAAAAACATATATACGTGATAGAAACACGAAGTTTACTTTATTTGAAGTGAGCATATTTGAACAAGAATGGTTTATAGTTTATGTTGACGGAAGCAACTCGTTACATCAATCACATCAAAGAATGTGAGACAACATTTAAAAAGGCTGGTATTTATGTTGAAGAGATTGAAAAAGAACTAAATAATCCCGGCGATGTCCATAATCCTAGCACTTACAGTACACATGGCACTGATGATCAATGACTTTTATTTATGTAAACATCTTAAAATTCTATTTGATTGACCAATTCGGATTCAAAAATTTTTGCAAATAAAACACCAAAAAAACCATCGACGAGAACTGCCTGAAGATACAGATCATTAACATCAAAATAAATTTAGTGTCTAGTTTTTGATGATATTGTTTGTAGAAAAATGTTTCGGAGGTTAATAAATCATCTCACGAAGTCGAAAGCGACTATAAAACTTATAGAAGAAAATTTTTGTTAGCTGCTCAGTTTTTCAAAAAAATGGCGAGTAGCCTTCAGTAAAGTCTTTATATCTATTGAATACAAATAGTTACCGATTTTACCCTTGCGTAGATCGATACAGAAGAAGTTA